CTCCTGGGGGACCGTGGGGCTGAGGCTCCCAGCCGAGCGGAGCCGGGAGACTGGCAAAGAAAGTGTGAGGTGGTTCCGGGCTTTTCCTGCAGGCACCTTGTTAGGGTCATGTCTTTGTGCAGACTCTGGAAGAATTACGGTGTGCTTAGTCCTTGTGCAGCTGTACAGAAGGCATCTAGGATGCTCGAGGCCATCTCTCTCAGAGGCTGATAGTCCCCAAATTCTAATAAGCTATTGCCTATTTTGCTCACTGCCCTGTCGCCAGCAGCGAGCACGTGCCTGGCGTGTCACGGGTGCTTATATGTGTTTCCCGAAGGAGTGAGTGGCTTCCTGGGGAAGTGTGGGGTGTCAGGGAGCCCGGGGAGCGGTGTGCAGACTCACTGCAGAGAAGACACGCGGCAAGGATTGCACTGGACCAGTCCGAGGTCTATTTCCCAGCAGACAGGAGGTGACAGCCCCTCTCGGCCGTGGAACCTGAAGGGCACGTGCTGGCCGGCAGGGAGAGTCCAGTCCTGGCCCGTCAGCTCGTGCCCTCCCCTCCCCAGCGCCTGAGGATCATCAAGGATCCCTCTTGGGCTAGAGCCACAGCCCTTGGACTTCCCCCCATCAGCGGCCTGGGGTCACCGGACACCTCTCAGCAAGCCGCGGGATGAGACCTCCTGGAATCGCGAAGAACGCTCCTGGGGTCTCGGAGGACCACGAGCGGAGCCCCAAAGTAAAGGTGGTGGCCCTCAGGGCAGGATGGTGTGCGCACAGGAGGCTGTGGAGGGAGAGGGGCACTGAGGGGGCACTGCCCGGTGGGGGCCGGTCTGCCCACGAGCGTTCCCTGTCTCTCCCCGGTTTCTCGTGTGCTGGTGTGGGACACTGCCCTGGTCCTCCGGCCACGGCCACAGAGGCCAGACCGGACGGGCTGCCCGGCGCCCCCTGCCCACGCCCCGTCGGCAGGACGAGCCTGGTGCTGATGCAGGACAGGGCTGTGGGAGGGGAGGACCTCCCACGGGGCTTGGAAGAGCCGCTGTCACCCCTCCTCTCCCTGCCCCCGGTGAGCCGACCCTAACAGGGCGGACGGGGCCAGGCATGGCGCGGACCTGGACAGTGTGGGGGATGGGGGGAGGGCTCTTGACCACGTGTCACCGTCTTTCGGAAGAACCGTCACCCCATCGGCGAGCTCCAAAGTCTCACATGAGTCTGTGAATCTTTTCATGCTCGGGAAGCTGGACTTGTTCCGTCTGCCTGCGGTCGGGAAGCACAGTCACGTCAGTCACCGGTTCTGGCCGCGTGGGCTGCACCCCGACCCCCACGGACACCGCCAGGCCCTCGCAGGACAGAGACGCGAGGGCGCCACCACGGGAGGCGCAGCAGACAGGTGATGGGGAAATGTCCTTCTGTCCCCTCTGAGCCCCGAGGCGGGCGGGTGTCCCCAGCGAGGCCCTGGAGACCGGCTCGTCTGCTAAAGACCGAGCTAAAGACCGGCTAAAGACGGGTAGCCCCGTCTGCTCACCCAACCCCTCTGGCTGCAGCCCTTCCCCCCCCCCCCTCCGCCCCCACGGTGCGTGCCCTGCGTGCCCTGCGTGTCCCGTGCCTGGAGGGGTCCTTTCCCGACCCCACTCCCTTCTGTACCGCCTCCGCCCGGCACAGAACCTCTCCCCGTCTGCCTTCCCTTCACCACCTCCACCTGCCCCGCCCCCAACTCCCCCCATCCTGCCCTCAGTGCCAGGGCCTGAGCCTCCCGCGGATGGCCAGCCCCACTCCTGGCCTCTCCTCCTCAGGCCTCCCCCCCTGCACTGGCCTCCCCCACTCACCCCTGCAGCGGCCACCTCAGAGACCTGCCCACGTGGTCTCCAGGCTCCGCCCAACCACCTGCCCCCTGCCACCTGCCGCCAGCCTGCCCTGCAAGGGCTGCGACCCACGGTATGGACTGCCCTGTCCTCCCTGATTCATACACCAAAGCCCCAGCGCGACGGTGCGAGGGGTCGGGGCCTCCGGCGGTGCCTAGGGTTAGCTGGGGTCCTCGCGACAGGATCGGTGCCCTGGTAAGAAGAGGAAGGGACCGGAGCCCCCTCCCCAACACCTGACGCGGCGAGACGGCGGCCGCCTGCAGACCCCGGCCCTCCATCGGGTCTGCGCCCTGAGCTGTGAGGATCGGTGTCCGTCGCGGGCGCCCTGTCGCGGAGCCCGAGCTGCGGCAGAGGCCTCCCTCTGAGCCTGTGCCCCTGCGCCCCCCCCCTTACCTGCCCCCGCACACCCCCTCCCCCAGATGTCACTCACTTCAGAACAGTAGCATCTTGGCGGTCCGGCCGGCGCGGCCCAGGCGCAGGTAGACCGCGCCGAAGCTGTAGTCCGTGGACAGCACGTGGAAACCCTCCACCCCCTTCACTGGGCGGGAGAGAAGCAAGGCAGGGGCGTGCGGGAGGGGTCGAGAGCCCCCTGCCCCCCCCCCCCCGGGGCCACGGCCCGCCTGACCGCCCCTTGTGCCGGGTGCCCATCCCGCCCCCCCTCCACGTTCCCCAGGACGGAGGGGCGGCCGGGGACGGCGCTGGCAGAGGCACCCTGTCCCACGTCTGGGTGACGAAGCCGGGGGGGGGGGCACTGCCACCCCAGCCTCCCTCCTCCGGCCCCGGGCTATCATACGTACGTGTGTTCCTGAACACCGCCTTCTTCCCATCTTTCCGAAGAATTAACGCGTGTGACCGGCACCCCTGTGACCTAGGGGGACAAGGCGGGACGCCCATTTCTGGAATTTTCCAGTTTGGACCGGGACCGGTCCCACAGCTTAAGGGAAACTCTTCGAACACCCAGTGCCTGCTGAGTGACCCCGTGTAGCCTGGGGGCTTCTCCCAAAATCAGGCTTTTGAATTTTAGGGGCAGGAAGTGACAGGTTTCAGGGCTGCGGGGACCGTCACTCTAAGCTTTCCCGGTGATCCGGCTCCAGCACCCCCACCCGGACAGGGTGATGCCCCAGGCTGCCGTGGCCAGGGCTCTGGGGAGGCTGTGCTGGGTGCCGCGCCCTGCTCCACTCACCGGCTAAAGACCAGGACCACCTTCAGCTGGCCCACTTTGTGAACCTTCACCGTGGATGCCCCCAGCTTCCTCCTGTGTCTGCCAGGCAAGAACCCCTTGCCATCGGAGGCAACAGCCAGAATGTACCAGAACCCTGAAAACTGTGCAGAGGTGCTGAGGAAGGCGCTGCTTCCCAGGCTCCCAGCCAGGCTTCCGGAACCCACCGGACAAGGGATGCCTCCCAGACACCCAGCCCACATCCAGCACCCTCAGATCTGCACGGCCCCTGGTTAGGGGCCCTGGTGGGCAGACGCCAGACTGTCCGGGGATGTGGAGGCTGGGCAGTGGGAACCGTGTGCTGTAACTTTCTTCCCGTGCAGGGCCTCCGGGGGGGGCCCCATCCCTCTGATTTCCTGCCACAAACCCACAGTCCCAGACACCGCCACAACCCGCTCAGCCTGTGCCCACAGCCACCTCCGCTGGAGGGTTCCACCTGCCAGCGATCTCCTCGTTCCAGAACACGTCCTGCTGATTCCACCTCTGCCCACCTAGCATCTCTGGGTGCACCTGCCTGGGGCCCTGCGCCCTACCCAGCTCCCATGGCCGGCAGCTGCTCTGGGAGAGGCCGGGGGGGCAGTCGCACTGGGCTGGCAGGGGCCTGTGCCGGAAACTCCTGCCAGCCTCGGGGCACTGCCCAGGGCCCCGGGAAGGCCCTTGGAAGATTTTTAGGGAGCGATCTTCCGGCTGCCCACACTCGGACGATCCCTGGCCCCCACGGCCTGGGTGCCTGGCTCGGGGGACAGCAGGCCTACGGCTTTACCTTGTTCCAGTTGAGGCTGTGGGCCTCCCTGGGCAGCTGTTCCTGTGGCCAGGACCCCATGGCCAGCACAAGCGCCAGGACCAGCGTGGACACCAGCCTCCCCGGTCCCATCTTCAGCCTCCCTCTTCGGCCACCAAGGCACTGAGTTTAAATCTCCCCACCCACCGACCCTGCCGTGGCCGTCCAACCAACCCAGAGCCTTGAGCCGGCCTGGGGTGGGCCGATGGGGAGGCTGGGGGGCTTCGGGCCCTCTCCTGCCCCGGGCACAGAGGGCCGACCCAGGTGCTCAGCCTGGTCGGTGCCGCCTGCCTGGGAGGCGTCAGACAAACCAATCGTGTTCCCGAGGTCACTCCCCCCAGACCTCAGGTCACCACGTGTCCCCTGGAGCCGTCCCTCCTCACAGTGGGAGCCCTGGGCCTCTCACACTAGCTCCCCACCCCCGGAAGAGAGACAACAGCCAGCTAGTGTCACTATGAGTCACTTCATAAGATTATCTGAGTGTGAGAAGGAGGACCTGACCCAAGGGTCGCCCTGAGCAGGTGCTGACGGGGGGTCTGTCCTGAGCAGATGCTGACGGGGGGTCTGCCCTGAACAGGTGCTGACGGGAGGGTCTGCCCTGAACAGGTGCTGACGGGGGGGTCTGTCCTGAGCAGGTGCTGACAGAGGGGACAGCCGGTGTGTGTGCACAGGCACATGGGGTGCGTGTGCGTGTGCGTGCAGCTCTCCTGTATGTGCCCGCCTGCCGCCTTCCTGGCGTGCACCCCACCTCGCCGTGAGGGATGGGCAGCCCCCACCCCAGCTTCTGCCAGGACCTCCGGCAGGGCCCCACCAGACCAGAGGAGGACCCACAGGCCAGGCCTCTGCAGTCCTGGGCCCCAGGCCTTGCCCCAGAGCCCTGCCCCGGACACCGAGGTGCCCCAGCCCGGCACCCCGGTGGGCACCAGTGCCCACCTCGTCGGCCCAGCACCCTGTCCGAACTCGAACCGCAGGCCTGCTCTCACTCGGGCAGACGACCCTCCCATCGGCCCGGGGCTGTGTGATCCCTCCCTGGGGAGCGGCTGCCTCCGGCCCAGCCCCTACTCCCCAGCCAAGACCCGTGTGTGCGGGTCCCCCCCACCCAGAGGGACTCTGCCGAGGGACACAAGTGCAGGCCGGCCCTCTCGCCCCCGAGCTAGCTCTCTGTGCCGTGTGGTTCAGCCGGGGTGTGCCCACCGCACCCTATCCTCTCCCTGTGCGGCCCGAGCCCCACGAGAGCGGCGCCCCGTCCATCTCTGTCCGCCCTCGACACCGAGCCCAGCCCAGCACACGAGTGAGAGGTAACTACAGCGGTTTGTGGAATCGCTTTATTTGGAAACACAGCAAGAGTCCCTGGGAGCACCTGCCCAGCACCCAGCACCCAGCACCCAGCACCCAGCACCCGGGTGGCTGAGCAGGTTGCCAGCGCCTGGCCGGCCTCGCCCGGACACAGTGGGCACTGTCCCCACTGGAGGTGAAGCATTCACTGAAAACCAGGAAGAACACTGGAGGACCCCAGGTTCGAGGGGCGTCTGCCTCCACCCGGGTCCCCGGCCCCTCATGGCTGCAGAGCACTGGGGTGTAGGACGCGGGGTGATGCTCGGGAGGCCAGCTTACCTGGAAGGCCTTGTGCGCACAGGTGACTGGGGGGACAAGGGGAGCCGTGAGGTCGGGCCCACAGCCTCACCTGAGACGGGGCCTCCCCTGTCGGCCTGACCTCGGGCAGGGAGCAGGTGACTCCTTGAAGAACTCACCCTCCCTAGTCCTGCCTGACTCACTGAGGCCAGGAGGCTCCCTGAGACCAGCGGAAGTGAGCCGGTTCTTGGGCATGGGGGCGACCCCGGGGGACCCTTGGGGGTGGGGGGCGGCCCCGGGGGACACTCACAGTCCCGCTGCAGCGCGGCCTGCTGCTGGGACAGGAAGCCCAGGCCCCTGCTCCACCTGGTGAAGAGGCGCACGGCCTCCTGGCTGGCCAGCTCCGTGCGACCTGCGGGGCAGGAGGGGACCCTCACACCTGTGCCCCCCCGCCCCAGCTGCCCCTCTTGCAGCAGGGGGAGTGCAGGGATGAGGCCCCAGGCAGAGAGGGCCATGGCGAGGCGCCGGGTCCCTGGGGGCACAGGGGCCAGCCCAGGCGGCGGGCCCCTCTCTCTGGCCCCGGACCCTGGGACGATGTGCTTCCCGCACAGCGTGGCTGCGGCCGGCAGGGAGTTTGTGGGCGGGCCCGGGGTCTCCTCCACTTACTGTATAGCTCCCGGTGCTGAAGGCCTCGTCCTTGAACTCCAGCTGGGTGAAGACGACGGCGTAGTCCCTGAAGTAGTCTGACACGCCCAGGGCTGGGAGACACGAGAGGCCCCCCCCCCCGGCAAGCTCAGAGCCCCAGAGCCCCGTGGTCCCCGGGTTCCGGGTGACGGATGGCCAGCTGGCGAGGGCCTGTCCCAGCTCATCCGGGGTCACACTCCCCCGGTCCTGTCCCCACGGGGGCAGAGGGCCACCCCCCTGCACACCACAGAGGGAGTCTGGGGGTGACCGATCCCCTCCCCTTCCCGCAGTGCTGTCCAGGCGAGCGAGCCCATCCCCACGCTGCCCCGCACCCCGAGGGACACCGCGGAGGCTGTCGCCTTACAGGGGTTCTCAAACACCCATCCAGAGTTCTGTCTCCACAGCAACACCGTGCCCACATCACACCTCTCCAGCCTGGAAAAGAGACCGTCCATCCTCAGCTCAGGGTCCAGAGTCGGGACCAGAGGACACAAGGGTCCTGCCACCGGGGCCCGGCCTGCCCCCAGCGTGTCGCAGAGGGGACCCTGGCTTCCTCTGATGGCCCCCATTACCCAGAAACCTTGCTCTCCAGTGAATCCAGCCTGGCTCGGGAATGAGCCACAAGAGAGCCAAGTTCAGATCAGCTCCCTCCC